TTGCTGTTTTGCTTTGGTGCTATTAGAATGCTTCTGTCATTATGTGGAAAAAGTCGTCTAACCTGCTAGAGAAAGAGAAACCACGTAAAGGAGAACTCAGGCACCCAGGTGACAGTCATATCAACTGCTAGACATGAGAGTGGGGCCATCTTAGATCACCCATCCCTAGCTGACCATCAGATGACTGCAACAACATAAGGAATACCTTGTGGGGCTAGCAGACCTCCCCAGCTGAGTCCAGCCCAAATTGCTTATAGACACAGTTATGAGGAAATACATGACTGATGCTTTAACCCACTATGTTTTGGAATGATTTGTTATATAGCAGTCGATCAGTGCCATATTGTAGAATTAACTACTTAAAGGTTAATATTATTATATATCCAAAGATAATTATTAAATGCTCCCAAAATATTGGCAGGTTTGGGGTGGGATGATTTTAGCTGAAAGGGCTTTGTCTTTGCAAATGTGAGTCTGGTCACCTGAATGTCTCACCTAAACTCTTTCTCATCTGCAAAATAGGAAAAATGATTCTAACTCTATAGTCTTAGTGTGAAGGTTGAATGTCCAAAAAGCAATAAGGTGCATGGTGACTTGCACATGGACTCACTCAAGAATGTGAATTTAAACCCCCTATTGTCCTTCAGCCTGACCTATAGCAGGTGCTTTATAAGTAAATGTGGAGTTTAATTGAAACCTGTTCTCTAGTTGATTTTACTTTTGAAGATTTCTATCTTGTTTGATATCTTTGTATCACTAGAAGAGTATATGAAATTACACTTACTAGCAATGATTTACATGATATATATATGTGTATATATATGTATATATATACACACACATATATATATATTTATCCACCCATCCATCCGTCCATCCCTAGCTGACCATGCAACAAGGATTTAGGAGGATATAGATATTTGTTTTCCTGAGATAATTGGATAAATATTGGAGATAAAGAAGAACAAATGGTGTTAATTTAAAAAAAGTATGTGAACAGGGGCATGCTTTTGGGGTGGTAAAATGCTTTGGAACTAGAGAAAGGTAATGGTTGTAAAACATTGTGAATGTACTGAATTGTTCACTTTAAAATGGTTAATTTTGTTATGTGAATCTCAATTCAATGAAAACAAAAACAAAAACACCCAGCAAGGATGGTCTGGGTTAGAATTGATGAAGCTGTGAAAAGTGAGATAGAAAATTGCAAGGTCCTATAGTGAATAGAAAGAAACTGGTGTAATTAATCCAGCAAGGAATAGTTCAGTTATTCTAAGGTTCAGGGGCCACGGGGAAGGGTATAACCAGCTGCTTGGCTGGCCAAGCAATCCGAGAAACAGAGGAGAGAGCATATGCTTTGCTATAACTGGACTGTTTATTTCTCCTGTATAAATGTGACACTGGCCAGTACCTCAGTACTTTGAGATATGTGTGTGTGTGTGTGTGTGTATGTATAATTTCATTAGTCCAGAATGCTACCTGGCTTCCCTGAGGCAAAAACTTATATGCTAATACTGCTTTTTAATTTGGGAGGGAGGCAATCTAAGTACCAAGACTGAGAAAAAAGGGGAATTAATATAGAGAAGGAGATAGAGTAAGTGCACACAGGCGTGCTTCTGGCTGGCCACAGCTTTGCAACAAACATCTTTGGTTTCTCAGTCTCTCTCCCCTCCCATTAGTGAAAATGTGCCCTGCTGAGCATCAATTCCCTATAGTTCAGGTCGTGTGACCTAGCCCCCAGGGCTGATGGGGAAGCTAGTTCCAAGACAGCAGATGCATCAGCAGAGTGAGTCACAGGGTATAGAGTGAGTCACTCAGAAGGTGGGTGGTGTGCAAGCCAGCAGCACTCCATGCTGTCGCACCTGCAGCCTGCAGCCGCATGGGCCTGGGTAGGGGGGCCAGTGGGAGTGTGTGGGCACCAAGCAGGTCCCACAGCACCTTGTACCTCAGCAACAACAGGCAAGCCCTGGTGCAGGAGGCAAGAGTTGCATAATACAACATACGAGCCTAGGCTCCATGGAGTTATTCCTGCAACACAAAAACCTAGAGCTGCAACCACAGTGGGCTTAGCTGGATGAAGAGTCAGAGTGCTAAGGCAGCATGACCCCCATCATGAAGGCGGCGAAGGGCTTCACTCTGACGAAGAGAAGGGCCTCACTCCGATGAAGAGAAACCCCTTCTCGTGCAGCTTCCAAAATATGGCTGGTTGGTAGGCGCTCTTCCTGTGTGGTCATCAGTACCATCAAGGAAATACCGTGGCCAAGCAAATCTGGGGAAGTGAGTAACTTCATTAGTTATGCTCATCTAGACCCTTTTCTAATTGCTGTTCTCCATGTCACAGCAATTTATCTTGTAAACATTGAACATTTTGTACCCTAGCCCCCAGCAGTTCTATTTCTAGGTAAGTATCCAAAAGAAAATCTCAGAATGATTACCAGGATACAAGATCGATCATAATAGCAGCCCTGGTCATAACGGTAAAAAAGTATACCTAGAATTTATAAAACTACGTCAAACTGAAAAGTTCTCGCACTGTGAAGGAAACCATCAACAAAACAAAAAGACAGCCCACTGAACAGGAGAGGATAGTTGTCAGTGATGCATCTGATAAGGGGTAAATAGCCAAAAATATAAGGAACTCATACAACTCAACACCAGAAACCCCCAAAACCAAAAAACAGTCCAATTAAAAATAAAAAAAGGGGCAGAGTACCTGAATAGACATTTCTCCAAAGAGAACATAAAAAAAAAAAAGAAGAGGAGGCCAACAGACATATGAAGAGATGCTCAACGTTACTAGTCATCAGGGGGATGTAAATTAAAACCACCACAAGCTGTTACCTCACACCTGTCAGAATGGCTCCATCAATAAATCAGCAAACAGTAAGTGTTGGTGAGGATGTGGAGAGCAGGGAACCCTGTGCACTGTTGTAGGAGTGTAAATTGATGCAGCCACTGTGGAAAACATTATGGTGGTTCTCAAAAAATTAAAAATAGAGCTGCTGTATTGACTCAGCCATTCCACTTCTGGGTATTTATCTGAAGAAATCCGAAACACTAATTTGAAAAGATACAGGCACCCCTACGCTAATTGCATTATTTACAAGCCAAGATATGCAAGCCACCTAAATAAATGTCCATCAGTAAACAAGCGGATAAAGAAGAGATGGTGCATCTATACAATGGAATGTTACTCAGCCATCTAAAATAATGAAATCTTGCCAGTTTTGACAATATGGATGGACCTAGAGGATATTATGCTAAATGAAATAAGTCAGACAGACAGAGACAGATACCATATGATTTCACTTACATGTGGAAACTAAAAAATAAAATAAATGATAAAACAAAACAGAAACAAACTCATAGATACATAGAACAAATTGATGGTCACCAGATGGGAGGGGGGTTGTGACGATGGGTGAAAAAGGTGAAGGGATTAAGAAGTACAAATTGCCAGTTATTAAAATAGTCATGGGAATGTAAAGTGCAGCATAGGGAATATATAGTCAATAATGTCGTAATAACTGTGTATGGTGCCAGATGGATACTAGACTTGACAGGGGCATCACCTCATAAGGTACATAAATGTCTAATCAAAATGTTGTACACACGAAACTAATATAATATTATAGGTCAACTGTAATTGGAAAAGAAATTAATTTAAAAAATAAAAAGAAATAGAATTCAGTAAAAATATAGTAAAGTAAAGGTCATGAACAGAAAACAGTGTCTCATGAAGCATGGATTATCATTAATTTCATTCTATATACCCAACATTTAAAAAAAACCAAAAATACTTGTTTCTTCCTATTTTGAATCTCAGTTGCATCACAACATAGAGCACTTGAACTTTTTAGACTGCAGTGATTTATGTACCACATTGTGCATAGTGTTTCCTTGGCCTGCCGTGCTCTTTCCGTAGCTGCTCCTTCTCACCTCCAGGCCTCGGCCTCGGTCAGCATCCCTCCTCTGGGAAGGGGCGGTGGAGTGTTTCTAGGGACCGAGGCAGTTGCCTGTCTGTGCATTCGTGGAGCCAGCCGCTGTGAGTGATGACGCGGTGATGTGATCATCGACCCCGCACAGGTTAACTGATACCCTCTGTTATGTGTAGGCAGAATAGAATCAGGGGGAGTATGAGGAGCTTCCTAGTCGAGGGCACGTGCTTTGTTAGATAGGAACTGGAAGTAAAGGACCAGGCGTGATGGAGAAAGTGTAAGCAAAGGCATGAACGAGAGAGAGCCTAAAGTGCATTCCGGGAAGAAAGAGAGGTCCGTTTTCTGTCACGTTAGTACAAGAGTAGGAAGCGAGAAGCTGGTCAGTCCAAAATATTGATCTGGAGCTAGAGTTTGAAAGGTCTTGGGTATCTGTTAGTAACTGATACTTTATATTAATGACAATGTGAAATCATTGAATGACTTTTGGCAGGAAGGACATGATGGAAGTTCTCTTTAGGAAAACTACTTGACAATGGTTTATAGAAAAAAGTTGGATAGGAGATACTCAAAACCTCGAAAAGGAGCCAGAGTATACTCATGGGGTGTGGGTGTCCAGAATATTTTGGACACGAAGTCATACTGGAATGGCTGTTAATGTGTTTCTGAAACAAGAAATGAGTCATGGTCCACAATGGGAATAAAAAATCATGAAGTCAAAAGCTATGAGGACTATTAGTAAGTCAGGATGTGGAGTTGTAAGCATGTCAGTGCAAGAGGTCAAGGCAAAGATGCTGAGTGTAACAAAGGTTTAGGAATCCTGCTTTTGAGTATCTGTGAAATAGGGGACCCTGTTTAAAGGCTGAAGAGAGCCCGGCCGGGCGTGGCTCAGCGGTTGAGCGTCGACCTAGGATCCAGGCGATCGGGGTTCAATTCCCGGTCAGGGCACATGCCCAAGTTGTGGGCTGCAGCTGATCAATGACTTTTTCATCATTGATGTTTCTCTCTCTCTCCCTCTCCTTTCCTCTCTGTGAAATCAATAAAAATATATTAAAAAAAAAAAAAAAAGGCTGACAAGTATAGCAGAATATCTGGAGCAATCTACCCTACTCATGAAATACAACTGTGACAAAGAGAAAGTTAGGAATCCAGCCTGTGTACACATACAGGTCTTGGTCCAAACAGTCACTATTACCAAGTACAGCACTTGTTTGCTTACCACAAAAGAGATGTCCACAGTTCGTTTCCACAGGGAAGGCGGCTTGATGTAAACAGATTGGACAGTACATGTCAGTGTAAAACTGCTGTCGAACAGCAGCAGGTGCATCCTGATGAGAAAATGTGTACACATTTATACTTGACATAGGCTTTTCAAAGTTATCTTTATGTTAAACTATACTTAAGAATATAGTCAATACTGTGTAATCGTCATAAATTTTAGATTTGCAATAGTTTAAGGTCTTAAGTTTGATAAAGTTATGAAGCTATATTGCTGTTTTATTTATAAACTGCAGAATCTCTACCTTCTTTCCTGAACACAATTTAAAGATTAAAAACCTAGGAGTTTCTGTTTTACTCCATTAGAATGAGTGAGTTATTCTGAGTAACACAAGGCTGAGCTAATGCATAACTGAAGAATAAAAAATGCCAAACTGTTTCTGAAGTATTACCTTTTTTTCATTTTTAATATCTTTTTCATTCATACATTCCTGACAAGTATTTAGCTAATTAATTTAGCCAAGGTCACACCCTGATGTTAGTCTTTTAGGTCATTTTAAATGGTGCAAAAAAGAAAAATATACTGCCCTTAATGTTCCCCACTCTACCCTTTCTCTTATTTGGAAATTAATTGATGAAAAACCAATTACCAGTGCTATCCAACAGAACTTTATGCAATAATGGAAATTTTCTTTGTCTGTGCTGGCCAATATGATAGCTACTTGCTACAAGTAGCCACTGAGTGCTAGAAATGTGGCCAATGTGACTAAAGCACTGAATTTTTAATTTTAGTTAATTTCAGTTAATTTAATATTAAATAGCCATGTCTGTCTAGTGCCTACCATATAGGACAGCACAGTATAGGTTAAGTCACTAGCTTTATTCTAACCAGAGCTATACACCATGTGTGAGGAAGGTATGAGGTACATGAATGGGACAGTGGTACAAAAAAACTGGAAGAGCCTGGCTGGGCGGGGCTCAGCGGTTGAACATCAATCTAGGATCCAGAAGATCACAGTTCAATTCTCCGTCAGGGCACATGCCTGGGTTGCGGGCTCGATCCCCAGTCGGGGGCATGCAAGAGGCAGCTGATCAATGGCTCTCTCATCATTGATGTTTCTATCTCTCTTTCTCCCTCTCCCTTCCTCTCTCTGAATCAATAAAGATATATTTTAAAAAAAAAGATTAAAAAACAAACAAACTGGAAGATTCCCCTCAATCTGGGATTCCTGTATATCTAGATCTACTCATGTAATCCTAGTGTGAATTTAAGCAAATCTTAGTGATCTAATATGTTAAATGAGAATAACAGTTGCCTTACTTATTATGTTTGAAGATTAAATAAGTATAGTATGTGAAATCATTTTGTGAATTATTAAACACTATTCCAGCATGAATTATTGATAACAATAGCTCAGGAACAGAGTACTAATAGCATACTTAAACTATTTTTGCATCAATGAATTTACGTTCTACAAAGAAGGCATTCTTGTCTGTTTAGTTCACAGTTGAATTCCCAATTCCTTGAACACTGTCTGTCATATGGTAGATTTTCAATAAATGTTTGGTGAATGGATAAATGATAAAATCCTCTTTGGAATTAAAGTTTTGTGGGTAAGAAATAAATTTTTATATTTTGTTTTTTGATGTTAGCTATCTCAGCATGAAAGTGTGCAATATCCTACTTAATTCAGCCTTCATAAAATACATTTCTGGTTCTTAAGAGAATCCATCTTGTTAAAAGCAAAGAGGAGGCAAGTGAGAAAAGTTTTCTTTTTTGCCTAGTTTTCTTAACTTTGATATTTGAAGAAAAAGAAAAGAAAAAGAAGCCACCAGTTATAGTCATTTCTTTGTAGGTCTTTGGGAAATGTATGTTAGAAAGAATAGCTTTTCCACAAATTTCATTAAAGCCAATTAGACAGTGATTATTTTCCTCACAAGCAAGTATCAAAACTGCTGTCTTTTAAAGCAATTAAAAAAAAAAAGTCATTTGCCTAATCTGAAAATATATAATTGATCGAATAATTTAAGGTAATTTAAAGCACAAAGAAACCCATGTTTCCAAAAAGTAATTTATTAATATTTCATCACAATTTCATACACAAAGCGAGTAATAACATCTGCTTCTTACATAAATGCACATTTACATGAACAGTACCTGTTCTGTTTGAAGTTGTTCCCGAAGCACCCTTACTAGTTCTTGGTTTTCTGGGTGAATGTTTTGATGTGCATTTCTGTTGAATAAAATACAATAAACTTTGAATATAAAATACTGTCAGATTAATCAGTTTTCTTTATGGGTATGATTTCTGACCTAGAACTACTGAACTAAATAACTGTAAGTGATGGTGGACAACTGTACTCCACTTTCAGGACTGAACACTCCGGGCTATTCTGAGATTACTGATCATTGGCCCATATCAGGCTTACCTGGCAAATGATGAAATCCAGAGACCTAGTTCCTTGGATTTAATGTAATCCCAGACTTGCAAATAACAAAAGAACAATTAACATATTCAATTCTTTTGCACAATTCCTTCAAAATAAGCAGCTATATAAATCTGTATGTTATGTATTTGAACACTTTACCATATCTCACTAGGTCCTTCTAACTTTTTACCTATGAGGACAGAGAAAAACAAAAACTAAAATTATATAATGTAGAAATGCTAAAAGCTAACATACCACTAATATCTTAACATCAACAACAAACTGGAGAATCAAAGGGAAGAAGATAGTGACTGATAAATAGGATAGGATAAGACATGTGAGTATTGAAAATTAGGAGTGTACTTAGGTTAGCAGGGTGGGGGTGAAGGTTAACATCTGAATCATGGCTTAATTTCATTTGACTGTAGAAGTTTTTTCTAAACCAAAACCTCTTTAACAGCAATATTTTAAGTCCATACAATCCCAGTGTTACTCTATAGAGGAGCCTTTACTATCTGGATAAACCAATATCCAACAGCAATAAAAATTCTAAATTAATATTCTAATGGCATAGAGAAATTTAAAGAAATCCATCCTATGATTATTCCATTTTTAGTAAAAAACTCAAATTTTAGAAAAGAAAGCTGACAAAATATAACCATCAGTTTAGAGGACATAAAAACAATTTAAAGTCAAATATCTAATCAGAAGTTCAATATAAATGTAATGGAACTAAAGTAAACCCTCGATTATGCAGACCTTGATTTAACCAACTTCGGATTTAACAGACAAAATTTCTGGTCCATATGTCGTATGTGAAAATTAACACCTTGTCAATTTTAAAATGCTTTTAACCAAGATTTGCTTATAATTAAACTTTAACAGGTTATCTTTTTTGTTATTAATTCACTGTTATTTTAAACAAATTTTAGCGAACAGGCCATATACTGGAAAAAAAACTGTAGTAATTTTGCTGACATAAATAAAAATTACATATCTACAACTATAGTCTACATATTTAAATTCAAGAGTCACTGCTCGTAAACAATGTTCGGCAAATGATTAGCACGTGATCATACCGAATGGCACATGGAAATTGGTTCTGTTGTTGGGTGGGGTGACTTTCTGCAGCAGTGCTGGCCAATGTTCCCACATGCACTGAGCCACGCCCCAGCTGTGTGCTTTTGTTTACTCGAGGTGACAGGTGAATGCATGAATTTACTAGGCCTATTCAATATAAATTTAAAACTACGGTAATACATATAGAAAACTTTTCTGTGAAATTAAACTTTTCATACATACTTAATTTTAATTACACAAATGTGTCTACATGAGTAAACACAGGTAAATTAACTAATTTGTCAATTTTTTAACATATGCATTCAGAAAATCTACTTTATTATATAATGGACTTTTGGCTTTAATGGACACCCCCTTGCCCGAATTACTCCATTATGTCGAGGTCTGACTGTATATATATGTTTATCTCCATATGTTAACACTTAAATTTCTAGCTTATTACATAAACTATGTATTGGTAGATAGCAGCAATTTTCAACCTTTTTCATCTGATGGCACACATAAACTAATTACTAAAATTCTGCGGCACACCAAAAATATATTGTATTTTTTGCCAATCTGATAAAAAGGTATAACTTTGATTCATTCACACTGGATGGCTATCGTTGTGCTGACTGTTGTCATTTTTTTTATTTGACAACCTAAGGGAAAAAAGGTCAATGCCCCTGACTAAAGAGTCAGGTATTGAATGTTTTAAAAATTCTTGTGGCACGCTGGTTGAAAATCAACTGGTATATAGACATCTGAGACCTTTAAGTATTATTTCTGATTCTATAACAATAATTTTAATTCTAATCTAAAGTCCCTCTGTATTAGACAAGGGTTTGTTTTTTTGTCTTAGTTTTACATTTAAACACTGAAAATATTTTGTATCCATCACTTACAAGTTGATGGATTCAATTATGAAAATTACATTTTCAAACTGTGATACTCCTACAGAAAATATTAATATTTTACTCAAAATATGGATAATAAACTTAAATTTATATAAGGCAGCTGATGTCAGGAGAAATGGGCCTACGGGAAAATAAAATACCTTAGTAAAGAGATACAATCACTGAGATCTATTACTTTCTTTTCATATTAAGTATTAAGCATTACTAGAAGCAGTCAGAAAGTCAGTGGCCCTTGGAAATATAAATTATTTCAGTTCTTTTGCTTTTTAGTCTCACCTGAAAAGTGCATATACCAGGGTACCAATCAAAGCGAAACTGACCACAACTGCCACAAGTACTTGGTCACTTACTCCTTCTATGACTGAATCATCATCCAGTTTCAAACTATGAACTTCACCCAGATATGTGGCCATTCCAAGTCTAAAAGGTAAAGAAACAAGATGAAAGTTACAAGTGACACAGTGAAATATACTAATAAAAGTATAACTGACTTCTAATATATTTAATTTTTTTTGGTAGTATCCACTTAAAGTAGGTTGCATTAAGTACAACTCCAGTGTGGATTGTCCTATTAATGAGTTCTTTAAAATTTGCCAGACATTATTTTGAAAGGTATAGAATTCTATTTTCTTTAAGGAAAATAATTACGATAATGTATCATCCATTTACATTTTTTAAAACAAAATATTTTTAAATACCCTTTTTCTCTTCAAGCTTAGCTCCTTTAATTTTAAGGAAAAAAAGAGACATCCTCATGCCCAATTGCTCTTTTCTTATTCTTGAATACCAAATAAATTCTCCAAGCAGATCAGGCCCCTCTTCTCCCTCATAACACTAAATGCACATCAGAGAATTTATCATGTATGGATAAGGAAAGGAAATACTGTCCTTTCTGTACATATTCCTGTATTACCTAGCACAGTGCCCTGTACACACTAAGATCTGATAATATGTTTAAATAAGGGTGACTTACCTTACTTATAGTGTTAGTAATTTGAAAAGTAAAAGACAATGAGGCTATAGGACATTTATATCTATACTAATACTACTTGAATTAATGAAAATTATGGTGCTTGAAAAACTATTAGTCTCACCTGGGACTAAGCTCAGCTTATGGTTCAGAATTCTTTGAACTGCCTGGAATATGGAATCGCTCTCAGGCTGCATTTCCTTATGAAGAGAAAAGGGAGGGAGGATATGAAACTCTCCTTCCCATAGACTAAACTACAGAGAAATGTAATACCCAATTTCTACAGGTATGAGGGGAGATAGCCCAACCACATCAGAGTCCAAATATCACAGGTAATTCATATGTTTTTCAGATGGCAAAACAGTAAAGTTCAAAGACTTATAAGACACCTAAATGGAAATAAAGGAGATAAATATTCAATCAAATATATATGACTATTCATAATTAAAATTCTGTATTTATGTAACTTACTGCACTGAAAAGAGTTTTATTCAATATCACTAATCAGGAGAGCTTCTGTTAGGAAGAATCTTTGAGTGTGAAAGTCTAAGACCTCTGAAAGAGTCTGAACTGGCTGCTTGTAAGAAAATTACCGCTCATTGAAGAAACTTAAGCAAACAAACAGATCGAAGGCGGCTNTCTTGAACTGTAGAATGAGATAATAATAGCCCCTATCTCAAAGGATCTGGGGGATAATTTAATGAATTAATGCATGTAAACGTCTTAAAACAGTGCCTAGTACATTGTAAATGTTCAATATTTCTTAGCTATTATCATCATTAATACTATGAGGCAGCATGGTGTAGAGGAAAGAACTTGGGCTTTAGGGTTGGATACACTCTTTGGGTCACCTTGAACAAGTTACCTAAACTTCTTTGAACTGCAACTTCTTGATTTGTGAAAGAAAGATATGACCTACACAGGGGAATTACTTTAAGGATTAAGTAAGACCATACACATGTAAGATCAGAGACAGTAAGTAAAAATAAATTATAGTTTTTCCTCCTTCTTTAGACAGGTTATAAGTACTAACTCAGAAGTTGGATATTTATGAAAAAATAGCATTCATCGTCCTTTAAAAATGTATGTGAAGAAAAGTGCACTAGTGTAAGAAAGGGGAATGGTTCTATCTTTAGCATCAGATGGGCAAAAGCATTTAAGTTCATGGTTGGCTGCTTGTGAGTTTTCATAAAAACAAAATCTAGCAGATATAATTAAGTATGCAGCATTTGGAATGGAAGCAGGCACTCCTCTTCATTGTGTGGGCAATAAAACCTGGAAGAAAAAAAAATCAATATGTTGGTTCAATTAAGTTTTCAGCTACAAATAACTAATTTCAGTCCTTATGGTTTTTCTAGGCTCCAAAATATATTGCTTATTGTTCTTAAAATATTAATATAGCCCTGAATTATTTATTGAGCTGAGAAACACTGCACTCTTTTAACATGGAAGAGAATGGAAGGTTATTTCATGTCAGCACCATGGAAGACAATAATAAATCTGAAATGTAAATAATACCTCTGAGAATAGAGCCTGGTTGAAGGCCAAAGCACGTGGTTTCCAGACGTTTTCTTTTGTGATATAGAAGTTGGAAAGCCAATAGAAAAATGCTGTCCTGGGCTTTTGATTCTTTTAGGGTTGGCAGCATATTGTGGCTATTTAGGTTATTCTAGAATGTTTTGATCATTTATAATAATACTTTATGTCATTAAAAGAATCTACTATATAGTAGTATTAGCTATCATTTATTGAGCTTTTATTATGTCTCAGGCACTGTGCTAAGAGCTTATATACCTTACCCTATTTATCCTATTAACTCTGTGAAATGGGTATTGTCACTGTCCATATTTTACAAGACAAGAAACTGAGACCCAGAGAGGTTAAGTGTTTTGATTACCTGGCCTCTGGCTCTAGAGTTACTTTCATGATGGGACTGTTAACAGTAAACACGCCAGGTGTTACTGGTGAAGTTAGACTTTGGTCCTTGAGTTTGGCTAAGAAAGAATTCAGAGCCAAGAACTCAAATACAAGTGAAAGTTTATTTAGAAAGTCACAGAGGAAGAGGAAGTGAACTTTGTGGACTCGGGAAACAAGTTACAGAGGCAAAAGAAGGGCCCTTGGAGCATAGGGGGAAGAAAGCAAAAGTACGTGCCTTAAGGGAAAAAAGGGGGAAGGAAAGACACAGTCAAGCTCTACAGAGAGAGTATGCCTGAGGAAGAAGGGGGTGGGGAAAGGTGTGGGCATGCAGAGAGAGAGAGAGAGA